TTTAATTTACATCACACAGAAAGATAAACATAGAATTATCATGGAATAAGTATATCAATATACGTGGACTACAATAAAGCATACAATTAGTAACATACGATCTAAAAATAAAATGACCGACGACGTTATTCTTCTTGGTCCCGCTGATGCCATTGATTGAATTCGTTTGATAATTCATTGATTCAATCTAAAAATGAATAATCGATATTAACAGGCATCTGACTATATCCAAATCCCTGAGCATTAGTGTTCTGTTGTGTTCCCAATCCAAAATCCCCGAAGCTTGTCCATCCTTCATGCTCACCTACACTGTCGTGCTCATCCCTACCCTGTTGCTTTTGGGACTCGATATGTGAATAATATAGCTGGGATAAGGTGGCCTCGGAATCATCATCTCTCTCATTTTCCCTTAGACCCCCTTCCCACTCTCCCTCATTAGGTGCAATATCACCAACATCTCTGACGAATTGTGGATACGTTGGCTGACTGCTTCCTTTTTTATGTTGCTTATCACCTTCTTCAAGATCTTCCTCACCGATATTCTCAATGAACGCTCTCTTGTGCAACATTAGCTCCTCCTCTTTTACTACCCATTGGTCTGTTATATCTGTGACAAATATTGTGTCTAAGTCTATCGGCTCATAGTCTTCAAGCTTCTTTCTTATTTGTCGCTCTCGGAGGTTTAAGTTATAATAAACGTAGACTAGTTTATGAAGTTTCTCTGAAGCGAGTCGATTCCTCCTAGTAGTGTGCAACCATTGGAACGTACCCCAGTTGCGCTCACAGCCAGTAGCAGAACATGTCTGGGAGAGCACCTTGATTGCTATCCTCTTTAGGTGAGGCGCATCAGTACCATATATCTCCCACCATTCAGCTGGATTCAAATGCAAAAAGCATTGTAAGGGCAAGAACAATTCATAAGATTAAATATATGAATGAACAAAATATTAGCGAGGGGATAACCTGGATCCATCTTAATTCAAGAATTCCTGGCAAGTCTAGTTCTGAATGATCCTATAGCATCCCTATACATAGCAAGCTAAAACAAATATATTTCGTTTTAGTGCATTATTCCTCACAAATATAACAACTCAATGAAGTTATTACCCAAACATTAAATAATACTTCTTGTACTGTTGTTACTTGGTTTCGATGGCTTCTCTCCAACCTTGCAATAATGTATCTGACCCCTTCCATAATCTTGTGGGGATGTTCAGGTGTCAAATAGAAAAATTTTGGGTTGAAGTAGTAACCTAGAAAATATATAGATAGAAAAATGTCATTTACAATTTTATAAAAAAATGATTTAAAATGAAGCATTCTAATGATATAAATATATATTTACCAACATAATGAATTGGACATCCAAAGTTGATGTTCCACCTCCTTTCTATAATCTCAATCACTTTTCTAGCAAAACTACACTTCTCCCCAATAGCTGATTTCGCCCTCTCGATACCTTCATAAATGATGCCCATGGTAGCTTTCTTGTCAACCTCCACCATTCTTAACACCGTGACCAAAGGGGCAGTGGCCTCTACAACACTGGAACATCGAGACCAAAACCTCCTATTTGAGACTATGCCGTCCACTTTTATATCGGTATTGGACTTCAAGAGGCGGTCATTTAACTACTTTCCATAGGTAAACAATCTCTTTAATACACCTTCAGATTCCCGAATGGAGTCCACAGCTAAGTAATCATTCGCAAAGCGGGTTATGGCAGGCCTGATTATCTCTTTTTTCTTAGAGTGTTCTCTAAACATAAATAAAATTTTAAAGTGATGGTATATAAATCTCGACACTAACATTGCTTCCTCTAGAGTCTCCTTCACAATTTTGATGGCACCGATCTCCTCCAACATAAGATCGGGGCTGTGTGCAGCACACGAGGTCCATACTAGATGCTTCATCTTATCCATCAACTTGTTGCCCGCAGAAACACATGCATGCGCATTGTCCGTAATAAACTGGACTATATGCTTATCTCCCACCTCCTTCACTATCTGATCATATAGTCGTACGTAGAAGTTTGCATCTTTTTTCGTCCCTGATACGTATTTGCTAGACAAAAAAGCTGTACCTTTTGGAGAATAGGCCAAGAAGTTTAAAAACTCATTTTTGCTAACTTTATTCAACCAACCATCACTCATGAGAGTAATGCCTGTCCTTGGCCAACTCTGTTTATATTCTTCAATCCATTTTGTAACTTCCTCCACCTCTCCATCTAATATTGGCCCACTGAACTCATATGCCGTCGGGGGTTTTACCCCATGCCCGGCTCTCTGGATTGCACTGACCATAGGTGAAAAATATAGGTTATTG